CCCACAAACATGGAAATAAGGAATCATTTCACCAATATACAAAGGTGGCTGTCGTAGTGGCCTAGCTAGCTATTGCCGCGTTACTCTCCTTCCTGCATTATTCAGTGATGGGATCTGTTGTTGTGGACAGTTTGATGAGTCTCTTGGAAAAATACGTTTTATCGCTGATGCAACATGGGTTTCGTCGCAGGTAATCGTGTACCGCTAACCTCCTTCTAACCTGAGAGGAGTTGACAAAAGCATTTGATCACGGTGATGCAGTGAACGTAGTGTACCTCTACTTCTCCAAGACAGTTGACCGAATGAACCATAAAATACTGCTGAGGAAACTACACAATTATAGAAGTCGGGGATTTGTACTCGGTGGGATAGAAAAATTTCCTCGACAACGCACCATGAATGTTCCTTCAAGCGCAAACTGGGTACAATATAGCTAAGACTTAAATTTCGACATCCGAAGCAGTGCACGAAACAGGGAAAAATTTTGGCATTCCTCATCTCTCTGTGATCTGTAAATCGATCCGGTTGTTTGAAAATTCCTATGGGACAAGGAGATTAACCGCTCGTAATTATTTCCTATGATAGAACTTTGACTTTGTTATTCGCTGTTTCTTTTCATTATCCGCAGCACCAAAGATTAATATTATTCGCTTCTGAAATGACAGAAAAGACTGTTCTAGGTAAACTGCAGTCTCCTATGAATATTACTTTCATTTGGTCATAGATCAACCGAATGTTTTCTTTATCAAATTCTTGTGTGTGTGTGTGTGTGTGGAATTTATCTTATATACCTTCCTGAGCTATTCATTACTCTCTTGGTCCTACCCTCAAGTTACTAATCCTGAACGAACTTCATTCTTTCGTTCGCCAAAGGCAATCACCTGCTTGGTTGTCTAGCTTGCTTATCAAACTAAAACCGCGTACCGTGTTTGTCAAAGTAACTCCAAACCCGCGAGCAAACAGTGCATGAGTGCCACAGTGTAGTTCATTCTTTCAATGACCTATCTGTAACTCTCCCTGTAGACAATACACCGTTGTGCTTTCCAGTCTTAAGTCTTCCACGCATTCTTCCTTCAGTTGATTGAAATCGCGTTTTCAAAACAGACTTGAATAATCCCACTGAAACAGGAGATCCGGGAAGAGCAATTATGGACGAATCCATAGAAAAATACTCGATCAAATACACTCGAGATGGCGTACTTCTCTACTTCAATTTCGTTTTCTCCCCCCGAACTGCTTAGTCGTGTTGTATTGTTATAACTTCTGTAGGCATAAAGCCTACATTTCAGTTAAAAACATACAAGTTGGAGAGATGGAGAAAATTTTAAAAATAATGAAAAAAGGGATTTAAATCCCAAAACTATTAACAAAGTCTGTGAAAACCTGTTCTTTGCTAACTAGAATACGTAGAGCTCCAACAGATGTTTATTCGATAGGGAACCCGACGGTATTGGGATCTAGTTGATGGATGGGAACAACAGGAACTTCAATCGCATGTGGCGCATGCGTGGAGTCGATGAGAATCTAATGTGCAAACTTTTTACATGCATTCAAATGACTTTCGCACAAGTTGGTTACCAACTCCTCCAATGGGATTCAAGAGACAAGCGTTAATGATGGTCAACCCATGTCGAAGCAGTTAAAAATCTTTCTTTAGGAGATCGGAAAGAATAACAGGTGAAAAATAAAGTAAAAACGTTACACGAATTTGGAAGTAATCACTTGTTGAATATGGAACTAATGAAGTTTACGGATATGAAGAGAAAGTCGTCCAATCTAACTCACGATATGTTGAAAGAGAGAGGTCCAACGAAGATTGGCATCAATAAAAACCTGTAGTGATCCATGCCTACGTTGGCACGCCTGCTCTGGAGCGGCGCGGTACAGTTTCTGGACACCTACGATCAATCGAATTTGAAAGGCGACGTCAATGAAGCGCGTACGAGTCACGGTTTCTGACTAGACGTCATTGGTGGATCGTGCCAGCCAATTCGAGACAATGCAGACAGAATCAGAATTAAGCAAGCAATACTGCAATATGATTGGTAGAAGCCTAGATAACCAATGATCTTCTTTTGTGCATATTATTCAATCGCTTTCATTTCTTCCAATAAATGAACTACGAGTTGCCAGTCTTGTGGCCTTTCCCTCGCGTCTTACAATGGAGATCAATAGCTTGATCGCTGGGAGGAATACTTCAACGAACAGCTGGCCTGGCGCTAGCAAGATTACTACATGCGCAAAAGTGCCCTGAGGGGTGACGTGCGAACCTCCCACGCAAGTTAGGTTTTGCACTGAAGCTCTGAAACGAGGAAAGGTATCAGGACAAGATGGGCTCTTCCCACCCTTTTCAAGATGGGTTGGTAATCTCGTATGCTCCAGTAATACCTCACTGCACAGCATTTGGACGCAAGAGCGCGTTCCTTCATTTAGGGACGAATCATTGATCGTTCCCATTTTCAATAATGGATTGCGTAAACCACTATGAGATAAGTTTGATCCCAATCTTTACCAAAGTGTTAGCCTCCGCTATACTTCGGTGTCTGACTCCTTTAAGAGGCCAAAATCCGTGAACAGCAAGCCGGATTGCGGTCATGCCGTGGTCTACTTCGTTCATTCGGGCACTCCAACGATCACGTACGCCAGAAACGACCAGAAATAATGCATACCATAGTGGAACTTAAGATCCGGCTGGTGTTTTGGTTTCAGTTTGTACAACTATTAACTATGCACTTTCGCGCGCCAGTTTTGGTTACCCCTATAGACGAACAATGTGACAAATACAAGAGATATTCGAGTATACGTCAATTTGAGTTCTATGACGAGAGTTCATATCACGCCGCAGCTCACGCGCATCGGGTGTCACGTGACCAGTCGGGGTCGCGATCGACCTCACCAGTACCGACAGGCCCAATGATCACCGATTTGCATTTCACCCACTGACTCTGTAAATTGTTCTGACACAATTACAGTTAGCCCGTTCCAGTGCGGTGACTTCTGTTCTTGCTAAGCAGAGATGTACATTTATAACCATTCGCATATCATTATCCGATGCAGCGAATCTGGTTCGTGTTCGGCTAACGCAATACAATCCAAACATACAAACGATTCTGATCCAGTGTCTTGCAGCACTTCTGCGCACGCTAACGATGGTTTCGTTCATTTTTCGAACTCAGAAGCTTTTACTTCCTATCTAGCGGGGAGCTGCTGTATTGACAATGATTGTACAAAGAAAAGGAGCAATCCACGAGGACGTTGTCTATTTACATTTTCCTCGAAATCAAATGTGACTCTCAATGTGATATTACTTTCTATTTTACCTTACAGCTTCCGCTTTACTGACCACAAGCTGGGTACTGTTCCAACCCACACGACAAGCGTTCGCTTTTCTACTGCATTTATTTGTTTATTCATCATATAGGCACGTATTCGGTACTTTCTAGTACCACGATAAGCCAATAAACGTTTATAACAACCACGAGTGTTTTTGTCTCTTGGGCAACGAAACACTAGGATGTGGCGCACGCATTTTGAGATTCATAAATCTTGTCCACAAGCCGTCACGTCGAATAGCTGAATATTCAAGTCCTGTAGATGCTGTGGGTAGCTCTCTTCCACCTGTCCGGCAACCATTCTAGTTGCTATTTGTTGTATTTTCTCCAGCCATGTCTGTAGTGACAGCACCAACCCTCGCCGCACATGTACCTTTCCCATATTCGAATCTTGTTGTTTCACTGGACCAAGACCATCTAGTTGGTCACGGTTCATTGACTTTCACTTCCCGAGCGCTTCTATCTCTGCTCTACGATCATACCAATGCAACTGTTGCTGAGGTTTCGTGATATCACTCGTTCATTTTTTTCGACTCCTTACTTCGTCCGTTGATCGACGTGTGTATTCGAAGTCATCATTAGTGTAGACACCCGTCTGTTATTCATCACGGAAGTGAACGTAATAATGAAAAAACACTTGTGTTACCTAGAGTAGAACCAGGAAAATACTACCATGTAATCAAACCACGTTTCGTTCTACCTTCTGCGTAATACCATAATACGCAGAGGATGAGGTACCGTATTTCAGGTTATTAAAGTGGTACGCGAAAACTATTCTTATCAGCCATCACATTGCACAACGAACGGTAAATCATACAGTCACGAAAACCTGATACACACTTACGGTAACCGGTGACATAGGTCATAGGACTTCGAGTGGTGAAAAGCCAAGAGTCGGACGACAGCGCGATTACCTGCTACCGAAGTTGGTTGGCGGTGGGACACTAGCGACAGCGAATTAAATCTCTTTATTACTCATATTTTGTGTGGCGAACAGTAGATTGGGTAAACACAAATCGCAAAGGCTAGTTGTTCTATACTATGGCCAAACTCCTTAGCATAAGTAGGTCTGAGCATTCCTGGTGTTGGTAAAAGGTCCAACTTATCTTCGGGTATTATTGAGGGAATTACGGTAGCGTAATATGAAGGTACCCCAGCACTACAAAAGGGCGATCTCCGCGATCCACCAACTGGGCTCATAAGAACCTTACGTAAAAGATAATCAGGCGCAACGATGCAAAGTTTGGCATTCTTTCATCCGCACTGATCTACCAGCACTCAGAAATATACATATATAAATAATTTTATTTATTTATTTTTTAATTTTTCCAGAAAACAGAATATTAGTCTTAATCCGTAAAATTATCGAATATCTTACCCACAGACCGCTACAGAAAACAACCGTCACCTGGAATGAGAGGCAGTAGGGACTCCTCTCGTATNACAAACTACCCATCAGCTCGCCGACTTTTCAATAGGAAAGCTTTACGACTTTTGAAGGTTTGTTGGGTTTTTAACCATCGCAAAAAGCTAATGCGGTAATTTACTGCAAAGCTTTTGGCCGAAAATCGAATACTTAACCGTTGAAAACTCTGGAGATACTCATCAAGATCAACAGATCGTCAACGAAAAATATGTATATTGGGCTCATAGGAGAGGGACATACAGTTAATCCGAATCGGAAGAAAGATCTTCAAAATCTGACGGGCCCAAATTCTTTTCCAGGATATATGCACTCTTGGGCTCCACGCACCGATAGTAATCTTCGATCTCACCCGTAATGTCGAAACCAAAGTGCTTGTAAAATGCAACGGCACCTGCATTTTCCACATGAACATGAAGATATATGCTTTTGACTCCTCCTTGTTTTCTGCAAAACTTTACGACATGCTTTAGCATTACTGTGCCAATGCCGAGACCTCTATACGGTGCTAAACATCCAAGAGTCATGATGTAACACTTCTTCACGTATTGGTTGTTCGATGTAACATCATCCGAAGAACAGTCTCCTGGTTTGACAGCAACATGATCGATCCGATAGCTAACCGCTCCAACAACGATATCATTGAAATAGGCCAAACGACACATATGGCTGTTTTTCAACAGATCTGTGTAAAATTTCTCCGCATACGAGACCGGCAGAACAACTTGATTAATCATGCGCAACTGTTTGATATTGTGTGCGGTCAGCTGACCTAATTCGATTCTGTACAAAGCTGGATCAAGGTTTTTCTTCTTATTCACAGAACTAGAGCAGTCAGAAGATGCAGCTATAACCTCCATGGTGGGAGAGAACTGGCGGTAACAAGGCGGCACAACGACCTTGAAGTCAAAATTTCAGTTCAGTTCAGTTCAGTTCAGTTTGCACAGGACGATGTGTGGCCCGGGCCAATCT